TATAGTTTTAATGTTTTTTGTAAGTTGCCCAGAGTCCCCCATTGGGGGGAGATGGGCAGGGAAGAAATCCAACAAATAAAATAAATAAATAAAATAGTCTCAGTATTCTAGAGAGAGTTTGAAGATTATGTTTAAATGAAAATGTTTCTGACTGAAAAACTAGGATAGATTGATATAAATTAAAAACTCAGTTTGGAAATACTCAATTTTCAATTGTTTATACTAAGCAATTACTTTCATGAAATACATTAGTTATACACAGATTGATTGTATATAGCAGTGTTGTCTGGCTGGGGAATTCTGGGAGTTGAAGTCCACTCATCTTAAAGTGGCCAAGTTTGGACAACACCGCCATATAGTGTATACAGATTATAAAGTATGAATATTGATGTTTAGCAGGTCACCTATCTAAAGGCTAAACATCCTGTACAGTACACTGTCTTTGGAAACAAATCCCATTAATTAAAGTAGAATCTATTTCTGAGTAAACATGAGTAATAGTATGTGGTTAGTATGCAGAACCCTTTAGAAGCCTAGACTAGTACTTACTAAGATGGCCTAGGCTTTAACATGTTTTCTAATTAACTCAGTTCTTTTGATTATTGGAGATATGCTAATAATGATTTCAGAATGATTTACGTATTTACCTTGATAAATGCATTGCTATAAGAAATAATAGCCATTTTCTTAAGGCTTTGATTTGAATTATATCTTAAGCGTGCATAATTAAATGATTGGAACAATGTCTTGGGACTATTGATGAATTATGTTACCAAGTCACAATGCACTAAGAATGGTGGTCTTGAGCGTAGGTCACTGATCCATAATCACAATAATTTTGGAACAGAGTGGCACAGAAATGCAGATAATCCATTTGCCCAATAATTTTGGCAATAAATCAAATAAATTATGTTACAGTTCAGGATAAAAATCAAGTCAATATCTAAATGATGACGCAAACAAAATTTTAGTTGTAACTGCTTCATATTTGTCTAAAATACCATGACTGCAGGAAACATTTGAATTGTTTTTAAAATACTTCTGGGAAATTGGATTTTGTTAACCTTCGGAGGTATAACAAACTATTCTAGGAATGGTTATTTATATAGTAGAATATCTCATAAAGTAAAATAAGAACTGATGTATGGCCTGTTTATATATTAACTGAAATAAAATTTAACCAGGATGTAATGTTTCATAGTTAAGAAGTGGAAACACTTCCTACATTAAAGGGGCTATACTATATTCAAATCGTAGGGGAAAAAAAACAAGTTTTGAAATGTTTGCTTTGAAACTAATACTGCTATATATATCATAGCTATATATATATATATCGTATGTAATATGCTGTGACTGTAATAAAGATTTGATTTCATTCATATGTAGAAGATAAAGCCTTCATCTAAAACTTATTTGACTGAAATAAACATATTTAATGGTTCAGGGTTTTGGACACATGAGATGGTGACAGAGATATAAAACATCTTTAAAGTCTATATCTGACTTAAAGCACTTAAGAATGGAGATTTTGCTTACAAATTGAAAGTGAGCTTTTAGGTTTGTTATGGAAGCATGAATGCTTTCTCTTAACTTTCATGCAGCATTTCAAAAGACACTACTTACTATTTTCCAATCCCAGCATTATGAGGATAGATAAACATGGTTATGTTTTCTTTGTTTCCTAATATTATATTCAAGGGTGAATATCTCTTGATGTTTATAGTGATCCTGAGGCCAGCAAGGGGGAAGGTGGGAGGTCCAAAATCTCTTTCGTGTCTCGTGCCAACCTCCACTTGGTATCTCATCCTACTTTGACGTAGCAGCTTGCTAGTTCTTCTGGTCATCACCTAGCCTTTCAGGGTGTCTAACTTGGCATCCACACTGCAATCCTGGGGTGTGGACAAGAGGGGCTCTCATGCTTTATGCTGCTTTTATGTCACAATACAAAAGTGGAAATAATTTCTAATAGTACCACCTCCTGGTTGTGTGCCATACAGTCATAGTTACTAGAGGATTCAGCCCTCTCTCTCCACATTGAGAGATAAACTGGTTTCACAGAAGATAAATAAAATCAAACGTAATTTTTTAAAAAGATTTTTTTAAAAGGATTAAAAAATCTTCTAATAAAATACAGGAGATTCAATGTGGAAGAAAATAATTACAGAGCTGTTAAGATCATGGATATACAGCAGCTTGCAAATTAGTTAAGAAAGAAAAATATCTGAAATGCAATGCAGTGTTTTGATAGACCACAGGCTGATACTGTGAATTAAGAGCAAAAAAAAAAAAAAAAGCTTTGCTTAAAATATTTGAGGAGACCACAAAGAGTTCAAATGATTAAAGATGACAATAAGATTCTAAAGAAAAAATTATATCTGCATGAACATAGTCTGAAATAGGAATGAAAGCTGCAATTAAACGCCCAGGTTCAGAAAGATAAAATAACACTTAGCACAACATCAGAAAGAGAAATAATAATAATAAAAAATTAGCACAAACTCCTGGCTATGCATTTTACTTATTTCTACAGAAACAGATGATGTCCTGAAGTGAATTTGTCCACACAAAATCTTTTCTGTATATAGCAGAGGGAAGGAAGGGGTAATCTGACTGTGAGTTCATGTAGTGATAGAGAGCCATCTCTCGTGGGTTTGTGGATTCCAAATCTGCTATACTTGCAACATTATATACACTTATGGTGGTATTTGTTTATTTCAGGTACTATGATCAACTGTGTTCCATAGAGCCAAAATTTCCATTTTCTGAAAACCAGGTAATGAATTAAAGCTTTTAAATATTGCTTTAATATGCAATACACAGTCTGAAAGAGCAGTTGACATTAGAATATAAAGTTGCTTTTAAATGAATTATACACTTTTGAGTCATACTTTCCTAATTAAATACATGAGGCTGTGAAGACATTGGCCTTGGAGAGCAATAGCAACTGTTATAGAAGTGTGAAAATACTCATTTGGATCCCAAGGATATAGGTCAACCAAAGTTTTGGAATGTATTGTTTGGGAATGTTTCCCAAGACAATTTCAGCATGTACTTAACTCTTCAGAAATTAAGAGTAGTCTAGTTAATTGAATTGCATCAACGTATATATTATTATTTCTTTAAAACAAAGACTGTAGACCTGAATCTGTTTATGATAGTAAAATAATTGATGTAAAAGGAACTCTAAATATATCAATTTCCTTTATCATACATTGTATTTTCTTTGAAAAACTTCCTTGTATCAGTATCAGTTATCAGTAATGGTAAGGTACAGATTTTGACTGTTCTTGATATTTGTGTTGCTGCTTGAAGCATATTTTCAAAATGTTTACATCTGTCTTAAAGCTGGAAATTAATGTATTGTTTTTATTTATATTTTCAGATCTGTGTAACTTTTACCTGGAAAGATGCCTTTGACAAGGGGTCACTCTTTGGGGGATCTGTCAAACTTGGTAATTAATTATTACAGAAATCAAATGGGGAAAATATATGAAATCTAAATAACTTTCTGATAAGCATTCCAACTTACTGTTTTTTCAAGAATTATTTAAAAGTCACTTTCACTGATTCTGCAGAGAAGATGTTTGGCTTTCTTCATGAATTTGAGCATAGTTTTTATTTTGATCCTTAGAGACTAGCACTGTTAGAATGGAATAATATCCTTGTTAGTAAAATATTATTTAATTTTACTAAGATTTTCAATGGGAACGATACACTTAAAATTGTTTTGGTGCTAAGAAGAGTATATTTGAATGATATATTATCTGTCTTTCCAAGCTGTCCTCAAAAGTTTTGGGCTTGTTGAGGCAACTTGTGGCTATTCATCTATCTGTGTAAATGCTGTATATCTTTTCAGTTTTTCCTGTCCAGTGCCTACTGTGATAGGCTTTGACAGTTGAAAGAAATTAGAATCAAACCAGCAGCACTGAACCATATTGTCATTTTTATTTTGATGGTCATATTGGTTGTTCTTATTCCAGTTTGAGATATAATTGAAAGCAAAAGTATAAATATTGAATTTTTATAAAAATGCATTCCTCTGAAAGCCCCAATTATTTTCCAAGAGGAGATACTAGTTGATGCAAGCAGGATTAATAAACAGTATAGTACTGTTATGTAATCTGTCAGGTAGGGTAAGGTCTGGTAGTATTTGGATGTGAGATCTCTGGGATATACCAGGGTTGTAGGCTAGAGTAAGAAGTTAAAAAAACTCAAAAAAATAATGGCAAACCTGTTTTTACTGTTGCCAAGTAGGCTGGATTGATGTGTCCAGGGTGTTACCAGGGACTGAGCTTGATTCATGTTTGGGTGGAATGTGGATGTGCGCTAGATGGCACAAGAAAACACTAGTGTTTTGCTGTTGTTTAATGATCATCCAGATTTTTGCAGCATAAATATGATAGGCCTAGTTTAGCCAGGGTGGCAATACATTAGACAAATAGGCTCTGTCAAACAGATGAGCTTCACGTAGCTGAGAAGATACTCTTCACTATCTTTAGTTAATATTAGAAATTTGTTTAAAAGATTATTTTAGCTACATTTGATAGGCTTGATATACCAACTTGTCAGTATTTATAAATCTGGCAGTAGGAATAGACATAAAGATAACAGGAAGGAGCAGGGGATGTTGAACTAGTTATCTTTGATAAAGACCTGGGTAAAGACAAACAGCAGAATGACATGACTGCTGCATCCTTTAAATATCTTAATCTGAAATCATAAAAGTTTAAGGTTAGTTACTAGCATCACCTGGAAGCCAACTAAGATTAATTTTGGTTTTCTAAAAGGATTGTGTAAAATTTATTTTATGAATTCCATAGATCTGCAGATTCATTGATAGATATCTATTATTTTCTGTTTGTAGTTTTCTTAATTAGTATAGGTTTCATGACTGTCCAATTTATAGGTAAGAATGTTGGTTTATATGCACTTTGTTTCAGCTCTGGCAAGTTTAGGCTATGAGAAAATATGTGTGTTATTTAATTGTGGAGCATTGGCCAGTCAAATAGCATCAGAACAGAATCTTGACAGTGATGAAGGAATGAAAGCTGCTGCTAAATATTATCAGGTATGACTCTTCTCTCTGTTTAACTACTTATTGGAATTTATAGTCATTTTGTTCAAACATTAGCTATGTATCTTTAAAAAATCAGTATTATAAACCTAGGGAAACCACTTAAGATGAATATTCTGTATCAAAGAGAAGGATGGTAGATATGCAATATATATTATTATAATTGAATCTGGAAACTTGGCAGTGAGTTGTAGCTTTGCCATAGAATTATTGGGATGCCTGGGGTACTATATTGCATTATTCCTGTTGCTCAACTACTGGAGCAGCATTGTCATCCTAAGTGTGGTTCCCTCCCCTCTTTCTCAAGTATAGTTAGAACAGCATTCCCTCATTTTTTGGGGAGATATACTGTAAATTGCCATATAGATAAGATTCCATCCTATTCCCAGACTGTACTGCAGGGATGGGCAAGATTTTTATGCCTTGGGCAGTGTAATCTCACTTGAGGGTACGATACTGGAATTGTAGTGTTTCCCCACTTTATTTGGAATTGGGAGTTTGGTAAAATGTAAGACACTTAATTTTGTTGGGAAAAAAAGTTAAGTGAAAATTCCCACTAACAAAAATAAGAGGATACAAAATCAGTATAAGGGTTTTTCTGGACCATGATTGCCTGCCACTGTTTGAAAATTAAAGAAGCTTTAGAAAGCACTGAATTGTGATGGCTCTGGAAAAGATTTCTAGAAGATGAAACTTTTCCTTAACACTGAAGTTGCAAAGAAGAAAATGGAAAGGCAAAGTTGTTACCCTTCACTGTTTTAGAGCATATGAAAGTACTTCAGGAGGGAACACCCTCATCTCTTGAAATCCAAAATAGTTCTTTTGATTATTAACATATGCATTTCTATGTGTTGGTGCTCTAGTAAAATAACATTCAACAGTAGACTGCAGTCTTTCTCCCCTGCTCCCTGCCATGCACTCCGACATCTGTGCAGAAAGGTTGGAAGCTTGTAATAAGCTACAGAGAAGAAAAAATAAAGGAAATTCTATTGCACATAATGTATGCTGCTTAATGTTGGATATTGCCTTATGATTGTATATATTTTGATTTTTATAGCTCTTCCTGTGTTCAAAGTTGGCAGCAATAATATTTTTAAATCTAAGATCAGTTTCTCCTTAGAGTTATAAACAACCAGGAATGTTGTGTTTCTTGTGTTCAGGAACATTATTTTTCCATCTTACTGTTTCTTATTTATTTAATCTGTTTTGATACAATTCACCATATAGTCTTGAAATGGTACAGTTGTAGAGTTTTATCTGTACAGTTATATTGTACAGATATAATGTTAGTTATATTGTGAAAAAAAACTTTAATTACCAATTTGGTTTGGTCACTTCTTATACATGAGATGAGTTGTTCTTTACCTAGCAGTTTAGTATTAAAGCAATACAACTAGCTCTCTTTGTTGTGAAGACTAGTACGTCTGCAGCATGCTAGAAAGAATTTGTGCTAGAAGTTAGGTAACAAAATACAATGTTTTTAATTATAGCATATGTTAAACGTCAAGATTGGAGGCCCCCAGCATGAATCATAGGAGCACCATTGTGACCGTGTACATCTCATTGGTGCTCATCAGCATCCCTGCCCTGCCTGTTTATATTAAAATAAAGTTGGCATGTCACAAAGGAAAGCACCAGTCTTCAGCATAATTTATTTTTCCAAGAATGTCTCTGGTGTTATTAAGCCTTTTTTATTTACATGCTCAGTTTGGAATTGTGCCCCCTTGCCCAGAAACAGGACAAAGATTAGAAGGGTTAATAGGGAGCATTAAGTAAGTGGATAGGAATTAGAAATGAATTGCAATATTCTAATAAAGCAGTGCTTTATGATTAGTTATATCCCAATGACAATCATTTGTGAGTGGGCAACTCCTTAGTATCCATTTTAAAAGAGCACCAACATGTTCTCAAAGTTCCAAATGTACCATCAATCTGAAATGGTTTGGGATTCCTATTCTAGTTAATAGAATAGTTGCCTGAATATTATATTACATGTTAAGGAATCTTTTCATTATCTAAGGCTTCCACCCATCTCCTTTTCACAGTTGACTTAAATTGTATTGACATCAATGAGGTTCCATCAGCCTTAGATGCAGAAATACAACACAAACTTGTTATGGTAGTCTAATGTCTTTCTCAAGCATCTGATTGAACTAAATGCAATACTAGCAGTGCCTTAAATGGCATATATCTTTATTTGTAGTGTTTTTCACTATAGTAGTTGGCATGTTTCTATAACAAAATGTATTATTTTCTCAAGTTTGCTAGTGGTGCCTTCCAGCACATTAAAGATACTGTCCTCTCCTCATTAAATCGAGAACCTACAGTTGACATTTCCCCAGATACAGTTGGCACACTAAGCCTTATCATGCTGGCTCAAGGTCAAGAAGTCTTTTTTCTGAAAGCTACCAGAGGTATGTGATGTAAACTGGAAATGTATAAATTTTATAACCTTATTTTTGCTAGAAATTAAAATGATTGGGAGTATTAGTATGTTTTGTTCAAGTTGAATATATTTTTAATTTACATTTTTGAGTGAGTACCTGCAATATATATTGAATGCTGGAAGATTTACTGTAACATAAAAGTTGAAGCCAAAACATCATATGATCATTCTTTAGAAAGAGGCATAATACTTAGTACATCATCTTGATGTATTTTAGAATTTGTACAAGTTTAGAAAAGTAATTAGAATCTTGTAGCCTTTACAATTTCTGAAGCTGCACAGGATTTATTGAAGGAATTCGGATTTATGTATTTAAGGAATTTAAAGGCCACCTTCTCATAGTTTATGACTCTGGCTGGTGTACATCAATAAAAATAAAATTAAAAAAGAATATAAAACCAAGATAACAAACCACAATCATACACATAGCTGAGGCTGAGCATAACAGCCACTCTTCCAGCATAATAGGTTCAATGGCCCAATCCTGGCCCAATGCATAGGATTTATTTTTATCGTCATAAAATATTTTTATTTTTTACTTTTATAAAAATATTTTATTTTCATATAAAATTTTCATATGAATAGATTGTACCTATCCATATGAAAATACTTCACAGCAGTATTTCTCAAATTGGCTATCAGAGTTTTCAAGTGCAGTTTCCAAGGCACTGATGTAAATCAGTAATTTATATGATTAACTTAACATGTTATACATTTCTGGATAGCCATCAGGTGATACATTCTCTGCCTCCATATTCAGTAACATCTAAAAAATCTCTGCTTTTACCATTTTTTCCCTTTATTTTATGAATGATATGAAAACCTACTTTGGTTGCCTGAAATGCATTTTTGAAAAATCATTATAGACATATTGGTACCTAACTTTTTAAAGGATATTATAAAGCAATAGAAATACTAGAATATATTTTGTGAAATCTGAAGGCAAAGCCAATATGACAATAACATGTTCTACGGTTGGTCATTTGAATAAAGTTACCCTTTATATACGACTAGACTAGACTAGCTAGGACATTTCAAAAACAATACTTGTGGGAAGGGTGAAATATCAGTGCTTAGTGCAGAAGATTTAGGGATACATCACTTGTGATGTAATTTGAAATTTCTGTACCGCAATACAGCATACATACTAATACTGTCAGTATTATTAAATGCATGAATTTAAAGTATGTGGTTCATAACAGTGCAAAAGTTAAAACTTTGTAAATCTTGATAGGACTTTTGATCAAGATTGCTTCATAGAAGGGAAATCTCTATTCATTGGGCTTCATTCAATAATTTATTGTTTGAGGGAAGCTTTAAGAAAGAATTTAGTTTTGTACATTTTCTGGAAGTCTTGTTTTCAGCTAAAATATGGGTATTATTTTAAAAACAATTGTACACAGTTCTATATTTTTGCTGCTTGGTTTACAAAAATAATATGGAAAACTTTAAAATCTGTTCAGAATATGAGGTCCACTAATTTTGCACATATAACAATACTGGCTCAGTTTTTCAAAACTGACACTGTTTCTGTTTTATTTAGATAAAATGAAAGATGCCATCATAGCTAAACTTGCAAATCAAGCTGCTGATTACTATGGTGATGCATTCAAACAGTGCCAGTACAAGGATACCTTACCCAAGGTTGGTAATTTCATAGTGAAGACAGCAGAATAGAAATGTGATACATGCTGAAATAGTTACTGACTTGAAGCTATCTGTGACATTTTCAAATATTTTGTAATTCTGGCTTGACATTTGGATTGTGGAATAGGATGAAGAGATGCAGTTAAATTTTGAATTACAGTACATGAAACCAATTCCTAATACCTCCTAATTTTTATCAAATGCAGGAAGCACATGGATTCATTCCAAGATTACCACATTTAACCTAAAAGTGTTAGGTTTAAAAAAGAATTTAGTATTGTAATTAAATTTAACATGAGATGTTTGTGACTGTCTTTCTAAATATATTGTTTGTTTCTTCCTTTACTAAATGTGGTTTCCAATTAACACACTCCTTAACTGGTTCATATTTCTCTGTTCTTAACATGTCCAAGAAAACTAATCTTGGATTGGCTTGATGTTAATATGGGGATGCCACTGCTTGATTTCATTGCTTCTAAAAACACAGCAGAAAACAGAATGTCAAATAAGCTTCTTTAAATATATATTTATATTTACATTCTGAGTTATTTGAATGATTGAGTCCGTGTGTCATTGTACCCTTTGGACATAAAAATTCAGTGTATGCTCATTTTCTATGTGCTATCTTTGTATATTCTCCTTGAGTTTGACTGGTTTTTTTTAAGTGGTAAGAATATTCTGTGGATACCCACCAGGAGGTTTATCCTTCAGCTACATCCCATCGTATACACTTCAAATCTGTTTTGGATTGTTGGGAGACACACCAGAGAGGTGGAGGGCTTATGAGATGCAGTAGGGAAAAGAGTGAGGAAAATCTGTTTATTTATTTCCTGTAGTCTTCCATCATATAATACTTTGGTTAAGACAATTTGTTGTCTTTAATTTCAGAAAAGCTATAGTGAGCTGTCATAGTGCTTCATTTGGCAACTTTTTAAAAACTTAATTTAACAAAATGGTAAGAAGTTATTCTATGCAGTTATATAGAACTGCTGAGAGCTGAGACAGGAAGAATAGCACAGGTTTGATTTTGGAATATGTACACTTGAAGGCATATCTCTCCCTGTTTAAAATAGCTGTCTGAACATGCTCGTAAGCAGCACTCTTGAAAGTAAGTTCAGCTGAAACCATTATTATCAGGAATTTACTGACAGTTTCCTCTTGCAGTATGTGGCTTTTCAATACTGCTCAACTATGGAAATATTTATGCAGTTTAAATGTTTTCTGTTTTTCAATATACTAGGTGATGATTCTCAGTCAGTTCATATCATCTTATTTTACTGCACAAGCAAGCAAAGTATTCAATGTATTAGTAATCAAACTTGTACTCACTTTACCTGGCAAGTTAGCCTGTTAGTGGTTAAACCAGATTGTAGAGTTGACCTTCAGGATGCCGGTAGAACTTCCAGTTTGAAATGGATCTGTATGTTTAAAGAAAAAGATTTGTTTGAAAAGGGACCAAAAATAGAAGTAGTGGATATACTTTACCCCAATCATTCCTTGCTATTTTTCTTTACTATTAACAGGCAGTTTTGTTAATATTTATATGCCATCTTCTCTTTTTAGTGACATTGTGTTTTGCAATACTACATGTGTAGACCAGACTAAAGACCTGCTTAGATATTCTTATAAGTACTTCACTTTCAAGTTCTTGAAGGACAGGTATTTCCAATAAAGTAGCAGATAGAAACATATAATGTTTTAGCTAATTATTGCAAGTGAAGTAATTAAAAACTTTTCAGTAACTTTATTAATCTTGTATTATATGGCCCTTCTACATAATCTCATCTAGATCTATCAGATGTACTGCCTCTCACTATGTGAATTAGCAGTTTCCTGTATATCATAAGAATCATATACTACCCTTTTCTATGCAGTCATGTGCCTAAGCACATTCAGTGGTTGCATCTATAGCTCTGTTTCTCTATTCACTGCATTTGACTCAAGAAGAGTCAACAGGGTGATTTACAGAAACTAGCTTTTCATAATTTAAGCTCTAGATAATTATTTGCGTAACTTGTTTTCATGAGTGTAATGTGTAACAATAACCTTGCTGCACTTCCTAATGCATATTTGAATTCTTAATCCTTTCTAAAGTAAGCTGAATGAGTGGAGGGAATGATTTAGGAAAACTCAAATCCTAAACCAAATGAACAGTTCCTGGATTTAACTGTACAGAATAATATTCATAATTCCACAAAACATAATCCCTGCATGTGGGTTAACTTAATTTCCCAGGCCTTATCTAAAGCATTAATTGGGTGTGTCTAATGTCATGTTCTTCTTCCTTTTCTTCCTGCATCCCATGTTGTCTGTGATGGTTTATGTGGTTGGATTTTTCCCTTGGTCAGTATTTTTATTTCCAGGAGGTGTTCCCTCTTCTGGCTGCAAAACACTGCATAATGCAAGCCCATGCAGAGTACCATCAATCTGTACTGGCAAAGCAACAGAAGAAATTTGGTGAAGAAATTTCAAGATTGCAAGTGAGTAACTTCATTTTTAACAGGAAAAAATAATACAATCTTCAGCAGACAATAATTGTACTGAGAGAAAAATTAAATTGCTAAGAACTTCTTAATGTAGTCTATCAACAGGTTTTAAGATTGAAATCCAATAATAGCTGAATAATAACTACAGTTATCTGATATGTGTTTCATTTTCACCATAGAAATTAAATAACAGTAATCTTCTATAGGACCAGCATTGGCATTTGTTCATGAGGCTTAATATTTAATTTAACATTATAGAAAACTCCAAATTTATTATATATGAGACAATGGCAGATACCCCAGTGATTATGTGCAGCAATTTTTATATTTTGTCTTTTCAGCCCCACAAGTCACTCAGTCAAAGAACCTGGCCCCCTCCATTATAAAAACAAAAAGGGCATATGTGGTTATTCCATTTATCACCCACAATAAGTTTTAAAGACTTAAAATATCCATGACTTATTCTGTGTTCCATATAGTCCAGTTGGGTCTCACCCTTTGATCTGTATACAATTGGTTTAGTGGATCATACCTTTTACTTTTCTAGGGAAAAAAAAATAGTTTATATTCTTTCTCAACATCAGTGTTTAATAGATGCAATCCATAGCAAATAGAAATAAGTGGGACTTATCAGAAAATATATAGGGAAACATCCTGCATGAAAAATATTGATACTAGATAATATTGTGCCCCATTTGGGAATAGAGCAGGTAAAGATCTCTAAATATTCCACTAGACTCAAAGTGGCTGAAGAATTTTATAGACAGAGGAAGCAATTCATTGTTAGTCATATCTTTATTGCAATTATTGATCAAACCAAAGCAAACAAAAACATGTTGGTAAGATACAGATAAAGCTGAGGCCTGAATAACTTATTAGTAACTTGATTTCTCAGATATAATTTGGAACATTCAAAAAGTCACCACAAAAATTTTGCCACACAAAGAGAAACAGTTGCTCTATATTTGCTAATATAAATACTAAGTACTCCAAAAGAGTGATATGAGTGGCACAAATAAATAAGTCACACAGCAGCATGAGTTAGGATTTCAATCTCCCCAAGCCACAAGACAGATTTGGTCTCTGATACAATATTATACAATTTACCCTCCAAGACTGCTGATGGTAGAACATTAAGGGGAGGCAATATAAGGTTCTTACACTGCCTCAAAGTGCTTAGATACATAAGTTACCCGGATGATTGGGAAAAGTTAAAAATCCTCCAGAGTAAATGCTATCTAGTAACTTAATCAGATCTTGTAGATGCTCATAATCTAAAGTTCTTTGTCTCATAATTTGTTTTGCTTTTTCAAGCTCCACAGGTAATAAGGCATTAAAGGAAGAACCAAATGACGCCAATCTGGATTCTCTATTTCTGTGCCAGTTAGACTGAAAATTATCAAGCATAATGTTTTGAGAGATGCTAAACCAATTTGGAAGATTATTTATATATTATAAATTTATTATAGCCATCCACTCCAGCAGACTTTGGATGGCTTTAAAAAATCTAATATTAAGTTAAAACAATTAAAAACAAAAACAAAACAACCTGAACAAAAAACCGCCATTAAACACATAGTGTGACAGCACATCCCCCATTCCCCAAACACATTAATCCCAGGCTTGGCACCAAAGCCAGGTTTTAAGATTCTAAATAATTGGTAAAAGCCAGGCTTTAGTCTCAACCTTAATCAGGTTTGCTGCCAACTATAGTGCTGCCAACTTGGTAAAACCGCAGTAAGAGTGGACTTGGAGCCACATAGCCATTGGACTAGAGCTTTAGTAGGCAACTGTGGGCATCAGTAGCAAGTTCTTGTGCCTGGCAGGACTCAGTTGTCCCAAAGACCATTCAGTTATTTATAATTTGACACCTGGTCCATGGGATTGCCACTTACCATTTATGTTTGACAAACACCATTACTTTTATCTTGCTATAACTGATGGTCAAAAATGCCAGCCTACACTAAGAAGCTTAGCTTTTTTTGCGCTGTTCTCATTCCTGTGAGAGTTTGGCACAGAATTACGGCATTTTAAACATAAATTGCCCGCCCATTAAATTTAGTAGATAAGATTTAAGTTGGGCGTTTGCAATTGGAAATCCCTGTCAGTATATTTTATTGCCAGTGCAAAAGGCTTATGATCTCCAAGTAATCATTGATTATTAAACAATCAAAATAATTGATTGTTGCTTGTGAAGCTCATGTAAAAACTCTTAATTCACTTGGCCATTTATCCAAGCTGGCATTTGAAAAAAAATAACAGATCTGCTAGGAAATTCTGGAGCAAAAACTAAAATGGCAATTCTTGTGCAAAGTACTACCTCTTTATGGATATCACCTTTGTAATTTGACTACATTCCTAGTGATGTTACCATGCAGAAATAATATAGAAAGTAAGATTTACATTCAGTTGTAACAAAAACTGTTTGTTTCAGATTGTTTTATTTTTAATTTAGCATGCTGCTGATCTTGTAAAAACAGTGACATCTCGCTATGATGAATATATAAGTGTAAAAGACTTGTCTGACAAAATCAACCGCGCACTTACTGCTGCAAAGAAGGATAATGACTTCATCTATCATGACAGAGTTCCCGATCTTAAAGATCTTGAGCCAATAGGAAAAGTCAGTCTTGTGAAAGCAACTCCAGTTACTATCCCTCTGAGTCAGAAATTTACAGGTAAGGGTTAGCATCACTGCATGCTGACATTGGGCACATGACTTCAGCACTCCCATTCTGATTTTAGAATTTAAAGGAGTTTGTGTTGCCTTTCCTTTGAATGTCAACCAGGTGGGGGTGGGATTATCTTTCCTTATGCTTATATTTTTCGGGTGGGGACTGGTTTGATAGTCCATCTAACTTCAGCTCTATATTAGTTGATAATATAGAAGTGTCCAAAGTATATATTCAAGTGTTTGAAACATTTACTAGGTTCTTAATGAGTAGCAGTTTGGTTTTAAGTATATATTTTAGCTGTGCCTCAAAGAATACAGAAGTGGAACATGGAAATATTGATCTATGATCTGCTATCTTCTATGAAATTTTGCTAATCCTTTTATTTTAAAAACTCAATGTCAAATATTGTCAAGCAGGCTCCAAGTCTTCTGAAAACAGGTATGTAAGGTTTCCGTTCTTGGAGGTACTGATATGAGATCACTGTTGCATGCCTGCCTTGAAATATGTGGGATGCCTTGGTGGCATTGCCTTCACACTAAGAGTACTAGGACAGACTTGAAACTGTAGGTTTACACTTATCCAAATACTCCACAAATTAGTGCAAAGACATGCAAATTAAAAAAAGAACTTCATTTGACTCTAAACCTTTTGTAGTTCAAATGTTTCATAGAATAAAAATAAAATTAAATCATCACTTGGTAACTTCAGGTAGGAGTATACCTTGAGGCTATTCATTAGTGACAGAGACCTCTTTATACTTGTTCTTGGATATTACTAAAAGTCAAACTAGTAACAAGTTCACATGTTGATCCTTACCTTTGTGGGACTTCTTCTGGAAAAACAAAGGGAATGGAGAGCATCAAGTCCAATAATTTCAGGTAAATAGTGGTGGGAGGGCAAGAGGATGAATGTGTTTTGTTAATAGTAATGTTTTGCTTTATAGATTTGTTTGAGAAGATGGTTCCTATGGCAGTACAGCAAGCTCTTACCGTCTACAACCAAAGAAAGGCAGATTTGGTTAATAGATCAATCGGCCAGATGAGAGAGGCCACCAATTTGGCAAATGGGTGAGATGTTTATTTTTATGTCTGGCCAGGTGCCAGAGAAGTCTTGCTTGAGTAGAAAAGCATTTGACAGGGCAGACTTATTGAAGTTGATATATTAATATCAGTAGTAAAGGCCCCTTGGTTTCAGACATCGGACTGGGAATGAAACTCAGGTCCCCATTTGACTACCTCTCAGGGTAGTTGCTGCTTCTCTTGGGTACCCCACTTTGAACTTACCTGAAGGACCATCTCACCCCCATTACATCAACCCATCCCCCCTGGTCAGGCAGAGAGGGCATGTTGCGGACCCTGTCAGTGAGAGAATGTAGGCTGGTGGGTCTCAGGAGAGCCTTCTGCCATTGCCCCTGCCCTTTGGAATATTCTCCTCCCAGAGGTGTGTCAGGTCCCTACCTTCCCAGCTTTCCGGAAAGGATTAAAGACCTGGCTCTGCCAGTTTGCATGGGGTAACAAGAATCTTGCTCAGTCCTGGGAGTGGCTAGCTTAACATCTATTCTTGGATTATATTTATTTTCTATTTATTCAGGATCATTTTATATTGTATTTTAATTGATTTTAATTGCTTTGTAAACTGCCCAGAGTTGTTTTGTCACTGCCCATCTTGTTCAAATTTGATAGATAAATAAACAAACTCACAGAGGAAAAGCAATTTATAAAATAAAAGTCTAATTTTTTAAAAATGTCTCCCTTGATTCCTTTTTTAACTGGTATGTTGTTGAAACTGCATATATAGTTGAATGTCCTTGTACTGCCAATCAAAAGAAGTCTTTCTGAACAATAAATATGTCTTGTAATTTTTTTTTTTTTTGGTGATGTAAAAAATAGCATCAGCATAAAGCACTATCTTGACTTGTTTAAGCTGTATGTTTATTGTGAAGTGACTGAAAGTTGGCAAACTGAAATAATGGTAATTTTCTCTAGAGTGCTGGCATCCCTTAATCTCCCTGCTGCTATTGAAGATGTTTCTGGGGATAGTATTCCTCAGTCTATTCTACAGAAGTCTAAATCTGTGATTGAACAGGGAGGTGTTGAAGCAATTGATCAGTTGATGAAAGATCTTCCTGAATTGTTGCAGAGAAATAGAGAGATTCTGGATGAGGTATGTTTGCAGTAATAATTGCAACATTAAGAAATCATATGCTTTTTTTTTTGTCTTGGTAGAATGGGTAAATTGTCACATTTTATTGGGTTAGGCCAGCCCTTCTGTTTCTTAGTAGGTGGTAATACTAGGAATTGCAATGTTCACATATTAGGAGAGAAACCAAATTAGGAAGTAATTGAAGTGGTTGCTGATACTTGATTGGTTTATATGATTTCTTTGTGTGTGTCATTCTATCTGTCTGTCCGTCTGTCTGTCTCTATCCCCTCTCATCCCTATAGGTGGTACAGTGGGGCAAAAAAGTATTTAGTCAGCCACCAATTGTGCAAGTTCTCCCACTTAAAAAG